ATGTCGACAATGTATCTTTTTGAATGACGGGAAAAAAAATTTTTCAAAGAAATGAATTACAATTTTTAAACGAAGCCTTATGTATGTCGTGTGTTCTTTTTTTTTCTCTCTTTCTGTTTTTTTTTTTTTTTTTTTTTTTTTCCTTCTTTTATGTACACGAACGTACAGATTCGGAGTGTTTCAAAATTATACGTCAATAGGTTTTATCAAATAATTTTCTAATGTATAATTAGAAAAATGTACGTAACAACATCAACAGGATGATTTATTTTAAAATAAGAAAATATAATAAAATGCCAGCGTATAATTTTAATGCACATATTTTATATATATACAATGCACATATGTATATATATACAATGCACATATGTATATATATATATACAATTAGGCGAATACATATGTATGTACAGATAGAAATATATATATATATATATAAATATATAAATATATATATATATATAGTATATACAATATACATATATGTATAGTATATGTATATGAAGTAGTACAGAGCGGTTTAAGGCGAGCGCGTGCAAGGACAGATGCTTCAGCGATGCAAGTGAGGTGCTGTGCTCTGTGCGTGGGTCATTTCCGGGATATTCAGGCACACAGATACGCGCGCACGCGCCTAACTATGCTCATTGCTTTTCTCTTAACTATTTACGTTTATGTAGGTAAATCCCTAGATAAATGTTAAGGAGACTTTGAAGCCTTGTTTCCATTCCTACGAAACTGACGAGAATCCTGGCCTGAATTCATTAGTGTACATTGTCCTGTAGATTTTCTATCGTATTATGCAACGAACGACAAATAAGATGCAATTAAAAATATAAAAATAAGAAAGACAAGAAAAGAGAAAACAAAAAAAAAAAGAAAACGAACACAGAGAAAATAAAAGAAATGTACGCGAGTAAAGATATATATATATATAGAGAATAAAGTCAAAAAGAAAAAAAGAAGAAAAAAAAAAGAAAATAATCCTTTCAATACCATACCTGAATATTATTTATGGTGTTCTGTATGTTATGTATTTGTGTTTTGTGACAAAAAAAAAAACAAAAAACAAAAAAGAAAAAAAAAGAACAGGAAAAAAAGAAAAACGAAATTATTGTCGAAAGAAAAAGATCGATAAAGAGAAATACGAAAAAGAATGTGAACGAGAGTGAAGATGGAAAAGAGTAAAGGAAAAAAAAGAAAAAAAAGAAAAAAAAAAAACAAAAAAAAGAAAGAATAAGAAGAGAAAGAAAAACAAATTAATCATTGTTAGTTGAAGAACGATAGAAAAAGCTCGATAGAAAAAAAGGCACGATTCAATCCTGATCGTTAAAACTCGTTGTTTCGTCAACGTCATTTCCGTACGGCGCAGTACAACGATTTTCTCGACGGGATTTCGATAGGGACGACCCTCGTTGAATAATAGTAAACGACAAAAGTGTAACACCCTCGTAATAACTCCCAATGGCAATAGGCGAATCTATTTCGTCTGTTTGATTATGAAATATAAACAAATCAAATATGTGTGGTGTCGTTAAGCAAACGAGATTAATTAGTTGGTTGACGTCATTCACGGCATACTTTTATTTTTCGATTTTTTTCGATCCGAGAAAATAGGAACTCGTGAAAAAGAAAAAGAAAAAGAAAAAAAAGGAAAGAAAAAGGAAAAGAAAAAGAGAAAGAGAGGGAGAATATTTCGATCGAATCGATTATACTTCTTTATTCTCTTGCTCGTCAAATCACTTGTTTTCTCTCTCTCTCTCTCTCTCTCTCTCTCTCTCTCTTTCTCTCTCTATATTATTAACACCCCTCTATATATCATTAGGTATACATACAATCGTCCTACGTGCGGTGTACAATGAGCTTGCATTAATTCAATCTCGGATCGTACCCGTTTAATTATCGTGAAACGGTAATAGGATTCGTAGCTGAAAGCATTGGAGTTAAAGACGTTCCTAAGGGTAACCCTGTGGTTGAGTAGACGATTCAAATATCGTCGTTATTTATCCAATCAATCTCGAGTCAATTTTTTTTTTCCTTTCTATTCTTTTTTTTTCTCTTTGGTTGTTCTTTCTTTCTTTCTTTCTTTCTTTCTTTCTTTTTTCAAATCGAACCTTCGATCAGTCCCATCTACGTTTGAAAAAATATAAAAGTAAACAATTAAGAACGAAGGATGAATAATGACGACGATGATGATGATGATGATGATGATGATGATGATGATAATAATGATAATAATAATATTAATAATAAACGAGTCATCGAGATTGATGAACTTTCGAAGATTTATGTCGTTCACCAAAGTTACATACAATGAGATAAACATAGAGTTCGTTGATACAGGGTTGGGACGATGTTGTCGCATGATAATCAAGCCTGCCCAAACAGTAGACTTGGACCACCGTTTGATCCCGTAAAGCTAATAGAAACATTGTGTGAAGATAAATCTGGTGGCCCCTGTCAAATCGGCCGTTCGATTATGTATACATAAATTGCAATTAATATGATCGGTAAATGGATAAGGGGTGCAAAATGTGGTCCGATATATTGAAGAACGAAAGGACATCTTCAAATGCGATTAAATCTATCTGATAATATCTTTCGAATGTTTTTATGGGAGATTTCTTTTTTTTTTTTTGAAGGAGAGAAGAAGGAAGGGTTAAGGGAGCCTAAATTAATCAATCGATTTGATCTTCGAAAAAAAAAAAGAAAAAAAAAAAGAAGAAAAAGAATAATCTTTATTTTAATCCCAATTTTCTCAATACCGCTATAATATTCTCTTTAAAAATAATATTTTTAGATACCATTTAAGGAAGGACTACTATGTAAACCCTAAGGTTTCTCCTATTACGTCATCCTTCGAGCTCACACCTGGTAAAGACTATCACACTTCGATGACTCTTGTTTTATCCTCAAACCCTTTCATATAAGACTTTGGAAGTGACGTTGGAAACACGCAAAGGCTAAAGACTTCGAGATAGAACCTAGTCATCTCCATTATCATGACTTAAAGGCGAACGATCCGATCGACGAATATTTTTGGCAGGTTACGCTGAGAAAATTGGTCTTACTTACAAAGTTTTAATCGACAAATAGGGAAATGTCAACCACTTATCATCCTATAAACTATGGGAAAGAAATTGATTATTAGTTTCATTGAGTTTCATTGTTATTTTTATGCTTTTTTTGTTTTTTTTTCCTTTTCTTTTTTAACGAAATTATCAATCAACAAATTACTCACCTAAAACACGAACTTCGACGGATCGTTGAGAAGTAAAATTATGTTTATTTCTGGCAGTGCAGGTGTATGTGCCTTGATCAGCGGCACGTTGTACGGTATCGATGAATAATGTACCATTCGCTACCCTTTGTCTCATATTAGTTGGCAGTCTTACGTTGCCTAACAAGATTGTAATTAATAATTGATATTCGTAGAACAAAAAAAAAATAAAGGATAAAAGAAAGAGAAAAAAAAAGGAAAGAAAATCAATGCGCTCAAAATTCTTGATAATGATGAAATTTTTGAACAAACAAAACTTACCCTTTTCCCATATTATCGATTCGATGGGATATCCAGCTACAGGGCATTTGATATATAGTTGCTTCCCAGCGACCGCTGAGACGGTCGACATGGGTCTGACATATGGCAGTCCTAAGATTGAAAATTATAGAAAATTCCTTTTAACTTTTATACCAACGATTTTATCCTTAAAAGGATATTATGTGCAAGTGACAACTTTGCAGGTATATGGGATGTTAAACAAAAAAAAAAAAGAAAAAAAAAAAAGGAAAAAAAACGTCCCTCGATTTTTATTTTTTGCAACATCCTATGCATAATATACATATATATATTAAAAAAGAACCCTTTTGACGATAAGAATAATTTCGATAAAATCTCAAGATGAAGTAACCCTTCTTGAAATACTCTTGAACCCGTGTGATTCGAGATTAGACAGTGACATCGAATGATCGTCACGTTTCCTTCGATCAATGTATCCCATCATTTTCTGATTCCCTACCGAATTACTTACCGTAAATATTCAGTCTTGCTGAGTGTTTCGAATCTCCAGCTCTACTACTGGCAGTACACTCGTATTCCCCGCCGTCCTCCGGTTTAACCGATGTGATGTTAACGTGGGATATTACGTCTCCGTACACGGTCACGTATTGGCCAATCAGAAGCCTGTCGTTTTGTGGAAGCGGAAATCCATCTAGCAGCCAGGAAATTTGCGGCGTGGGATTACCTGCGGCGCTGCATTTCAGAGAAACCGATGGTCCAGGCTGCATTGTCTGTTCGATAAACCTGTAGACCAGCTGTGGTGCGATCTCTGTTAACAGACGTTACGGTTAGATTACATATATATAACAGAAAGCTTTGGAACAACGTTTCTCTCTCTCTCTCTCTCTCTTTCGTTCTCACACTTGTATTATATTACTCTCTGCTCACTTATCTCTGTTTCTCTCTCTCCCTCTCACTCTCTCTCTCTCTCTCTATCTATCTATCTATCTGTCTGTCTGTCTGTCTGTCTGTCTCTCTCTTTCTCTTTGTCTCTATCTTGCTCTATCATTTTTTGTTCTTTTCTATTTGTTTCTTCTAGTTCATAATAAACTTCATTCAATTCCCAAAAATTTCTCTTCTATCTGTCACACGTAAACTCATAGTGATCATATACAAATTACTATGTAAAATTTTTTAAATGAAGAAAGAAAAAAAAAAGGGAAAATAGAGGTAACGTTGTTTTATTCGAGGATTATGACAATTTCGCCTGTACGCGATTTTATAATAATAATAATAATAATAATAATAATAATAATAATAATAATAAGAAGAAGAAGAAGAAGAAGAAGAATAACGTTCGTGATACAAACAACGTGTAATCTGTTTTAAAGGGGGGGAAAAAAATGCAAAAAAATCATCGATCAGTTTGGTAAACCATTGGCATAGAATTTTTATGACTTCTTTTTCAAGTGTATTCTTCATTTCATATGTCACACAAGAAGGTTTCTCTATGAAATTTCAATAGCGTCGAATATGAAAGAATGAGAAAGAAAGAGGAAAAGAAAGAGGAGAGAAAAGAGAGAATGAGTCAAAGAGAACGATGTGAAACAATTGAAAAGGTGAAAAGTTCGATGTACCAAAATAGTTTATCTCTACGGTGAGAGAAGTTGCGTACAAAGATATTTTACATTTTAGCGAGTCGCGTAACGAGCTGTAGCTCGCGCTTGCTAATAAATTCATGAACTTTGTAAGGCGAGTACACATCCATATATATATATATATATATATATATACACACACGTACACACGAATACCCACATACACATCACATACACACACATGTACATTGGCGATAAGATAACGTTGACTCTCGGCAAAGTTTTCGCATACATTCATAGTTTCCGCACATCTGAATGTTACCTCTCCTTACGTTCTGTACTATCAACATTAAATTTCTCAAACTCACTCACTCTCTCTATCTATCTATCTATCTATCTATCTATCTCTCTTTCTCTCTCTCTCTCTCTCTCTCTTTTTCTTTTTTTCTCTCTCTTAACTCGGCTGCTAACCATACAGTTACAAAAAGGCTTAATCAATGAAAAACTTTCAAAAGTATGAATAACATCGATGAGATTATTTTCGAAAAGATATCGACATGTTGGTAAAATATTATTTTTTTATGGTAGCATATAAAGTTCACAAAAAATCCGTCGACTTTTGTTCCTCTCTTATTTATCTGTTTTTGTTTTGTTCCCGTTTTTTCCTTTTTTTTTTTGGTTTTTTCTTTCCTTTTTTTTCTTTTTTTTTTTTTTTTTTTTCGACGATGGATTAGCTCGGTGATTAAAATTCACACGGTCTCGATGAAAAGGGGAATACGGAGAGCAGTGGTAGGAAGACTCTCGTCGTCCATTGTGGTAGCAATTTTGCGTGTTTATTATTTAAAGGAACGGTTGTTTCAAAAGGAGGACTATTAGTAAATTAACAATTGCATCTCTTCAATTAAACCGCAATGTTATTCCATTTTCCCGCGAATAGGGAAAAACGTAGCGCTTCTCGTATCTTAAATCAAGAAATTAATACTTTGAAAGGAGAGAGAGAGAGAGAGAGAGAGAGGGGAGAAAAAAAAAGAAAGAAAAAAAAGGAATGAAACGACATAATAATCCGGAAATTTTCACTCAAGGAACATTTTGAGAAAATTTACATGGGCCAGACAATAGGTATAGTATTTGAAAAATAAGTTAAAGCAGCCAGTTCGTTCTCTATTCTATTCGTATTGTTTAATTATTTAAAGAAAGAAAGAATGAAAGGAAGAAAGGAATAAGAGAAAAGGAAGGAAGGAAAATTAAAAGAAAATTGTCTTGCAGTTAAATAATTCGTCATAATTCGTCCTTGTTGTGGTTAATAAGAGCAGGTAAAATAAAATAAAAGCAAAAAGAAAAAAAAAGAAAAGAAAATACACATGTAAAGGCACGAGCGCGCCCACACACACACACACACACACACACACACGTAAAAAAGAAAAAGCCAACAAAACAGAAAAAGCGAACAAAGGAAGAATAATAAAAATTCGTCGAGCATCGATCGTTCTAAACAGCGGTCGAGTCGAGTGGGGTTGCTTATTTTTCTTAAAAGCACTGCATTTTGGATGGTATAACAAACGAACAGGCAGGCAGGCAGGCAGGCAGGCAGGCAAGCATGCAGGAAAAGCAGGGAGATAGACAGAGAGGTAGACAGACAGTCATGTACATATGTATATGTATGTAGATACATTGATATAGATTTTCCAATACAAATATAAAATAACCTGTATAGAATGGAAATGATGGAATCGTGGAAAATTGAAATAGGAATTTAATTAAGCATCGCTATTGTCCTGATGCCAAAGAGGACCTGAAGGCATATAGATACGTAACACGACTATTCCAAATATATCAAGCGTGATATTCCATTTCTTTCTTTCATTCTTTCTTTCTTTTCTCTCATTTCATTGATTTAAATAGTTGAAAATACTTTCGCTGTGTTTTTTGATCGTTCGAGTAGCTTGTGTATAAAAACTTTACGAATGAGAAATATTTGAGGAGAGAAAGAAAGAGAGAGAGAAAGAGAGAGAGAGAAAAACACACTACACACACTACACACACACATACACACACACAGACGTGCGCGCACATATATACAAAGAGAAAAAAAAATAAAAGAGGATAGAATGATGTTAAAGTATACATAGAAAAAAATACAGGCGAAAATTCTCTCTCTCTATCCCTCTCTCTCTCTCTCCCTTTGTCTTTGGCTATCTTTCTCTCTCTCTCTCTCTCTCTCTCTCTCTCTCTCTCTCTTTGTCTTTGGGTATCTTTTTCTTTCTCTCTCTCTCTCCCTCTCTTTGTCTTTGGGTATCTTTTTCTCTCTCTCTCTCTCTCTCTCTCTCACTCTCTTTTTCTCTCTTTCTCGCGAAAAGTTGCTTCTAGCAAAGGTGGTTTAGCCTCTGATGTATCTATGACGCATAATAAATAGATGACTCGGTGTAGATGCAGGACGATGCGAGATCGTGCACGGTCGAGAGCGGCATGCAAAGCATTGGCAAAACCGCAGGAATCTCGTTAGCGTATGCAAATCCAAGGTGGCGGTACTAACTATCCGATCGTGCTGCAGGCGATCTTCCACAGCACTCACCTTTCCCCTTTACCTAATGTACGCTCGATGCCCCGCAGGTTAGAAATCATGGAGCCGAGAAGAATCCTAATGACAAGGTAATACGAAGCTGTCTTCTCTCTCTCTCTCTCTCTCTCTCTCTCTCTCTTTCTTTATATATCTCCATTTCACTCATTCACTCACTGTAACATGTTCTTGCCTTCTCTGGTTCGGCTTCACCTTCGTCCCTGAAGGTCGCTCGCAAAAGTTACTAATTGACGGTCGGTAGGAAACTTCGTTCACTGTAATTGAGGGTTCTCTAGTCCCTTCCATCGTACACATACCTATCCTATTCCACCTCGGTTGGATAAAGGTTCGTTCAGAAAATCGTTGACTATGGCGAATCTCGGAGAAAGAGTCGATACTCTGACAATGGATTTTCCGAACTCCCGTGTTTCCCAACGGAGAAAGATAGAGGAGACGAAGAGAGCGAACAAAGAGAAAGAGAGAGAGAGAGAGAGAGAGAGAAAGAGAGAAGGAAGACATGCTTTTTGGAATATCAAAGATAGTTAGATCGAGAGAAAGAGGAGGAAAGATAACGAGTAGCGAGAGAGTACGCTTTGGTCGGACGTGCGAATGGTAATAGTAATGGTATGCTACGCTCTTCTCCAGCGTTAGTAGTTTAACCAAGCCATATTTGAAACACGTCAGTCGTGGAAGGAAACTACGTTTTCCCTTAGGACAATTCGAGTTCCCAATGATTAATTACCTTGACGATGATATTAAGGGAAGTTTATACTTCAATCGAGTTAACTACAAATTAGAGAGAGAGAGAGAGAGAGAGAGAGAGAGAGACAGAGAGAGAGAGAGAGAGACAGAGAGAGAGGGAGAGATAAAGAGAGATAGAGAGATAGAGAATCTTTTCGAAGGATAGTAATTAATAAAGGACGAAACGTCAAAAGGTTGAATCGATTTATGTTGTTTGTCACTTCTGTTCCCGTTTCTTCCGGTATCCAACCGCTAGAAACTTTTGAAAGACTCCTTCACTGAGACTTCTCCAATTATCTGTCGCAACCAAGAAAATAGTTTCGCTTTGTGATATTTAACGAAATCACAACGGGAATGAAATCGAAGAAGTACGAAGTAAAAGATAAACGAAGAATAAGAAAATATCATTGTACAAATCTTTCTGGTTGCTTATTTTCTTTCTTTTCTTGTTTTTTTTTTTTTTTTGCTTTTTTTCTTTTCCTTTGCTTTTTCTTTTTTGTCTTCTTTCCCCAACCCTCTTGGCGACTGCCATCAGTCCGCTCCACGCCCAGTCACCCCTCCCTGCCACTCCCAATCAACCTTAAACTATTATCTCTTTTCGACATTCTTCCACGTGTAATTCCTTCGAATAAGTGCTATAAACGATTTCGAAAGAAAATTTCAAGTCTTAGACGAGTATAAAAGTTAGCGGCGAAAAAAAAAAAAAAAGAAAAAAGAAGGAGAAAAAAAACGATGCCATAGAAAGGGTTAATGGTCGGGAAACTTGCGGAGCCATAACCTATTCAACTATTGGAGAGTTTAAGGGAAAAGAAAAGGAACTTTTGGATGAGACGTAAGAATAGTTCGGCTTGCCAATATCAATGATATCGTTTGCTACAACTTTTCTTATCCCTTTTCTCGCTCTTTATTTTTTCTCTTTTTTTTCCACCAATACAAATCGAACTCGTTGTTTGAAATAATAAGAAAGAAAGAAAGAAAGAAAGAAAGAAAGAAGGAACAAGAAGAAAAAAGAAAAAAATAAATAAAAGGAGAAAGACAAAAAAGAAGAAAACATACCGTACGAACATACGTAAGCACGTATGTCCTTAGAAACGCACGTAATTTAATTAAAATTCTCGTGCGAGAAAGATCCTTTTATTTTTTCCTTCCTCTCCATCCGTCCCCCGCCCTGTCCCGTCCCGCCCTACCCTACTCCGCCCCTTCTTTTTTCTTTTTCTATTTGAGACGCCGAAGGTACGTCTAGTCCAACTGAATATCCACTTAAGCGATAAAAGCGCGCACGATCCCACGAGATTTTCCCCATCGCGAAATCCGAATTTGCGAGCGTACTCTCATTAGACATAATGGCGTAACGGACAAAGGTTCTCTTACTTTGCGTTCAACTCTCGTTACGATTTGAAATTAATTTCGAACGATACGTCCACTGTGTTTCTTTCTCCCTTTCTTCTATCTTTTTCTTCTCCCGCCCCCCCCTCTCTCTCTCTCTCTCTCTCCCTCTATAACGTTACATTTCAATTAATACGACGAGAAATAGAATTCAATGGGAACTTATTTCAGGATTTTCTCTTTAGTTTTCGAAAGCAGTTTATCGAGTTTGTCGAAATAAAATATTGAAATAATGTAACGAAATTCAACTAATTTTCATTTCATCTTAAAAAACAAGGATCAATGTTCGATCAATTTTCGTCTTTCCCTCTCTTTCTCTCTCTCTCTCTCTCTCGGTCTCTCCTTTTCTTTCTCTTTCTCTTTTTCTTTCTCTCTCACTTGTTCTCTTTTTTCTTCCTCCGTAACATATATCGAAACGAATGAAATCAATTTAATAATAAATTTTAAACCTTCCATCGAATTTGCGTTTATTATTACAAACTCGTATGCGTGCGAATGCGCACGCGTGTGTGTTTGTCGGGACAGAAAAAAAAATTAAACAAAAAAAAAAAAAAAAAAAGAAAAAGAAAAAATAAAAACAAAAAAAAAAAACAGAATTAAAAACGGCAAAAAAATCAGCTATTTTCACGAATGCAAAATTTTAATATTGATACGGTAAATTTGATATGGTAAATTTGATACGCGACTAGAAATATTCATATTGCATTGGATGTTAGTAAGAGAAGGGAAGCAAAGGGGGATGGATGGAGAGCGAAGCGAAAGAGAAAAAAAAAAAAACAGAAAAAAAAAAATAACAATTTTCCGTAGCATCGTTATTGGTCGGATACAATTTCACGCTGAAAAATACATTAACGAACGCATCGATCAAAACCAGTTACATATATGTGTATGAATCTCGACCGATCGAAATGCTCTTTACGTTGCCTTTTCATTTGCCAGTTTTCTCTCGTACGGATTAACTGTTACGTGAGAAAATAATGAAAAAAAAAGTTTTATATATATATATATATGTATATATATATATATATACATATTTATAGAAGAGTTAAAGATATACATGTATATATATATAAAGAATTATCAGAGTATATCATTTATACGAAATCTGTTATCGTATTAATCCGTAAAGTTTTTATAAGTCCGTTCTACGATACATAAATGAAATGGTTCGCGTGTTAAGCGCGTAATAAATGCATTTCTATTGACTGACAAACGATTGTCAACTGTTGAATTTTGGTTTAATTATTCATAGCTCATCGTTTCAGATCTCGTTTCAAAAACGAAGTGTTATAATATCTGAAAATTGTAAACATACACATCTGAATAGTTTACGTCCCCGTACACGTATGTTTGTTTACATTTTCTAACGCGTTCTCGTTGAACGGACTATAGAAATATCTCAAAGATGATCAGTAAACGACATTATTCGGTCGGAAAGTTGTTTTCATTGAATTTTACGAACGCGAACTATCGATTAAACGAATGAATATGTGATTGAAATGATATCGTAAGGGAACATTTTTCTTTTTTCTTCTCTTGAAATATAACCTCTGACCTATAAAAAGAGAGAAAGAGAAATACGATAGAATTTTACTCAACTTTCTATGTATCCTTTTCTATCTCATTCTGATCCAACGTTAACCTTCACGATTAACCCGTAGCACTTTTTCCATTTATGTCGAAATTAAAATCCGAACGAATTGACTAACGTATCAAAAAAAAAAAAAAAAATAAAAAAACAAAAAGAAACGAGACATTAGTTTATTACGATTAAGAGAAAAAGTAAGAGCAAGATAGAAAATCGAACAATTCATCTGATGAAGTACTAATCGTTTGCCCGACAACGTAAGTTACGATAACATGCCAGTTAATCTCTCCCTTCAAACTTTACTTTTACGTTAATTCTCTCTTCTTCTTTTTCTTTAATTCAAAAAAAAAAAAAAAAAGAAAAAAGAAAAAAAAAAAAAGAGAGAAATAAATAATCCTTATCGAGAACATTTTCATTTGAAATATAATTCCATTAGCACTTAACGATCGAACTCTTCGGACTATACACCATCGATGAATAACGTTAAATTTTTAATCTCTAGTAACGATATCTGAGAGAAAGAAAGAGAGAGAGAGAGAGAGAGAGAGCGCAAAAAAAAAAGAAGAAGAAGAACAAAAAAAGGAAAAAAAAACGAGAAAAAGAAAATGAGAAAGAGAGATAGATAGATAGATAGATAGATAGATAGAGAGAGAAAGAGAGGGAGAGGGAGAGAGAGAGAGAGAGAGAGAGAGAGAAAGCAAAGAGTAATGTTAATACCGAAACGGCCACCGTTCGAGAGTACAAAAGCCGGAGTGAACGGCGTTGTTCGGTCGGCAACGTGTTATCGGAGGACGCACGTACTGGCTGCGCGCGTATGGGGGTTTTGTAATTAAAACCATTCGACGTCCTCGTATTCGCACGATTATCGTCGAGCAAATGGTCCTGCTTCGCCGTTGCGGTGAGGGAAGCTGCGATCGGAAAACCTGGGACCATACGAAATCGGTTCTCTGCGTGCAAAAATTCCCACCTACTCATCATCCTTTTCTTTCTCACTCTCTCTCTCACTCTCTCTCTCTCTCTCTCTCTCTCTCATTCTCTTTTCATATACATATATATACATATATATATATATATCTTTCTCGTTCGAAATCCACAGCGATTCGTGATGGAAAATACGTTACGATGGAAATACCA